AATAAAGAAAGAAAGAAAACAAAATGAATAAGTAGGAAATAAAAAAGGTTAAAACAATATGAAAAATATATAATGCGATGGCCTGTAGGCTAAAATACAGCCTTAACTTTACTTGAATGAGGTAGTGATACCTTTTGACATGCTTTGTTTCAGGAGAACTCTGATACATACAGTAGCATGACAGAATTATGCAAAGACAAATCATCTGTGAGAAATTTCATGGACTAGCAAGTTTGTTAAAAGTGTCTTTTAGAAATATACAAGTAGTCGATTAATTCCTGACTTTTTGCACGGAAGATCGCAAGCGCAAATACAATACCTTGGTATTCAGCCCATGAAAATGCTCTTTTCTCTATTGACATGTTTGTCAATGGGTTAAACTTTCAACTTTTGTTTCTATTGCCAGCTGGTCCACCTTATTTGCTGTACTTTTGTGTCAAGTTTTATGCAGCAGATCCCTGCAGACTTCATGAAGAACTAACCAGGTTGGTTGGCACAGACCTGTTGTATTTCCTACACCAGTAATAAATTATACAGTCAAGGACCAATTAGGCAGCAGAACTTTTAGCTAATGCATGCAACATACCAAAATTTTCATCACCAGATTTATAAGTATTTTTTTTAAGCAGGAATAGTTCAACTCGTAATTTCAAATTCCTTCTGTGGTAGAGTGCTTATTAATTGAGTGATGTAAAACGTAAAGCAACGTAATTGCTGTAACCAATCACAAAGGACAGAGATAATCAAGTGAATCAATGAAAACTTGAAGCAATTGCATGTACATGATGCAAAGCGGCACCGGGAAAATATGTTTGAGCCAGTGTGTGGTGGTCGTTTTATTTCTCATTGGATGAAAAGGTGGTGTGAGTATTTTAAGCGAATTGTATTATGTAGCTGATGCAAAGCCAATTACTTTTCAGCACTCAAATGAAAACCACTCTATCTTTTAGTTTTGTTTCCAGATCTAAAAACTGTACTGTCTGAATTCTACCAATCATTAATTTGTCAGTCTTAATTTGAATTTTGTTTTCTTAAATTTATAAACAACCAGGTATCTGTTTTTCATGCAAGTAAAGAAAGACATTTACCAAGGGAGGTACGTTCATATTGCTTCATTGTTTTTCTCTTTTTTATATAATCTGAGAGAAATATGTGACTTTTTCAATGTTGGCTTACTCAGCATATTATAACTCTTTAGTTAATAATGATATTCATCATTTACATGTCTATAATTGAAAGGCCACTTTTGTTTAAGTTGTGATGCCAGTGTTGTTGTCATGATTATTGTACAGGTTGCCTTGTTCAACAAACATCCTTGCTGAAGTCTCGGCATATAGTATTCAATGTAAGTACATTATCACTGATTTTCAGAAATTGTCTCATAATAATATTTATTGCAGTTTTTACCTTACCGGAATCACATAACGTATAATATAGCATTTTTTCTAGGCAGTTCCCTGTAGTACAGATAGCAAAATTGATTAGAAATCATTTAGCCACTTGGGGTACATTTTGTCTCTCAAATTACATGTGCATTCAACTCTCGATGTGAGAAGTAGTTAATAGCAGAACACAATGAACATAGGAACAGAACCACATGCATGCATAGAAATAGAAAACCATGCAACTCTTTTTTCATGGTCAACATGGCTTACAGCATGGATCATGGGCGTGTACAACCTACAACAACCATGATGACGTTGCGCAACGTGGTGGCCATAATCTAGTGAATAGGTTGACTGAGGCATGCAACTTTGGTTTACAGCATAATATATCTTTGATATTGGATATCCATAATATGGTCAACTGACACCTGTCAAGACAATGTATCTACTGACCAGCATCATGTGACTATATCGGAGGTTCAGGTTTAGAGCTCATCGAGGTCACATGTACTTTTGAAGTTGACTGTTGCCCCGAGGTACTGGTTTTTCGATTGGATCGCATACTCAAGCCATGTTAATTTTTTGCTGTTAGGAGCTTGGCTTTTACGCTTGGTTAAATCTATACATTAGTTTGCTACTATATTTCAACAAGCTAGTTAACATATTTTCTTCAATTTTTGCGTTGTCAAGGGAATAACAAGCTGATGTACATTATTTAGTAAATAAAATTAATGTATTATTCTGTACTTAGTCAAGGTGAACAGTCTTTTACCAGATGGAATCTTATTTTGATTTTCCAGCTGAACTTGGTGAATATGATCCTCAAGAACATACTATGGGTTACATATCTGAGTTCAGATTTATTCCTAATCAGGTAACAACTCATTATTCAACTCAGTACTCTCATGACAGAACAACTGTGTATTGTTAGAGTTTTCTAAAAAAAAATAAAAAAATAAAAAAAAAATAAAATAAATAAATAGATAAATAAATAAATAAATAAAGAAATTCTGGGAGGATGTGTTATGGTTTGTGGATTGGTCTTTTGTTTCATTCTGTCATGTGGTTGTTGTGATGCCATCTTTGCACAGTACCAAAGCAGTTATTAATATATATTTTTTTTTTACAAAAATGTTTTTGGTAATAACATTGAGTGAAGAAAAAACCATTACGTGAGGGAGAGGTGGGATGTAGGGTTTAGACTGCATTAATATTGGTACCATGTTGCATATTTTTAGTATTTAAAAATGTCCATTTGTCAATCCTAGAAGTTTTGTTTTGATAGTTGCCTTTTTTTCAAAAGTGAATAGCAGTATTTTGCTACTCTCTGTAGATGAGGTGTCCTTTCATTGCAGGCTAACTCCTGAATTTGCTCTTCTGTGTTCTAGCCTGTGTTACAGCCATATTTCCTGAAAGGAAAAATCAGAGAGAACATTCTGTGTTTTGCAGTCGATAATCATGACAATCAGTTCCCTGCATAAATCATCCACACATTAAAGCCATAAGTTGCAGTGAATTGAATGTATCAAAATGGCAGAAAAGTGACTCCCAGTGCTTGTTTGTCTTGGCCAGAATTTTTGTAGCCTTATCACTTTAACATGGTCTCTGAGGTCCTGGATTAGTGTTAATCAACTTTTATTTAACAACCCAACCCTGGACAGTGAGAGACTACGTGAAAATATAGTGACTTGCCTAAGAAAACAAAAAGAACCCAACCAGGGTGGTAACCCAGTCTGTCAGGCCAGTGCACTTATCATTATTGGACCACAGTCTGAATCTGCTGTTTTATGGGTACCACGAAACAATGAATAAACAGCAAAAATAGTGTACTGGGTTACCAATAACCTATTTGTAAAGTGTTTTCCATTTATTGCACTTTTAGAGTGAAGAACTAGAGACCAAGATTTATCATAGGCACAGGAAGCTGGGGTAAGTTTGAAGTTTTTTGAAAATTCATAACCATCACAAAGTGAATAAATTCTTGAGGAAAAATAAGAAAGAGTAAATTAAGATGGCAAATGTTAAGTAAACTTAAAATTTCAATCTTTTTTTTTCTCTCTCTCAGGACTATGGTTCCATCTGTTGCAGAGTTCATGTATCTTGATAAAGTCAAGTGGTTGGAGATGTATGGAGTTGACTTACATCCAGTGAAGGTTTGACTGTAGTCCTACTGTTGAACAGAAAACCACTCAAAATTTCTTTGAAAACTGAAAAGCTGCTGTAAAAATCACTCAAAACCAAAAAAACACCGAACAAAATGATTAACCCCTTGAGTGCCTATGTGGCGTCTTCAGTACATTATGATTTTTGTTCCTCAGGTGCCTATATGACGTACTGAGTATGTCCAAATTTTAAGAGATTTAGTCAAACTCATGGCACCCCAGAAACAATGTCTTTGGCACCTGAGATTCATAGGAGGTTTTTCAACAGACTTTCCCATTGCTGTGATGTCATATGGACATCAAATTACGTCAATCTCAGTGAAATTAACAGCATTGAAGAGACACTCTTACGACGTTTCAGAAAATGTGTACATGTCCGTAGTTTAAGTGAAAAAGCTTAGAGCATGTGAAGGTTTTTAGACACCCATTTTCAGTGTACACGGTGGTCAGGCACTCAGGGGGTTAATCATGGAAATTCACAAACTTGCATCTGTCAAGCTTGATATGGCAGCCAAAGACAGGTACCTTTCCTTTTTTGAGAGATTAGGACATTTTCATTTGAAATCATTGCTGTCTGTATCCTTTTACATGTAGCTTACTATTAACCCCTCGACTGGCAAATTCCCCCCCCCCCTCCAAAAAAAAAACGGCAAATGAATCAAATGTTACATTTGTACAACTACCTCTTTCCCAGCAAACCACTTTCACTTTGAGGTATACATTGTAGAGAAGAGAAATGTAGAGAAGAGAAATAAAAAGAAGAGAAACGTAGGGAAGAGAAATAAAAAACATTTTCTGATTTGTTAGAACATATCTGGACCAAATTTGGTTGCAATGCAAGATTTGCTTGCAGCATCAATATTATCAAGAAATGGTTTCTCATTCAGTTAAAATCTATTCTTGTCATCTATATTGCACACCACATGAACTGACTTACACAGATTGACTGAGGTGAAATAAAAAGGCCTTGGAACTAGCCAAGCAAATAACCCAAAACTGACACACTGCTTTACTAAGGCCCAAAAACCAAAAACTGGATGCTAAAGAAGGGAAAACCAATTAAAACAAAAAAAAATGCGATAGATACCAAAACTGAAAAACCAGTTACTTCAAGTGTAAAAACTGAAAAATGAACAAAACTGTAAAACCAAAAACCTAAATGCCCCCTTTACTTCAGGGTCTCTCAAGAGTTTCATTAGAAGCTGGCAACCAGTGAAAATCACCACCTACTTTGTCAGAATTTACCTCTTACAGCTGCCTACTTTGTCTGTATTTCACTCAAATTCTTAAAAAATTCATCAGTTTGCCGCCTACTTTAGTTAGCATAGACAGCTATTTCAAAACTTCTTGAAAACCCAGGTCTCTTTCACAGGTTGCTAATGTATGTGGCTAATGTTTAAGAGGGGCAATATAGACCACCATTTGATATAGTCAGAACTTGACATGAGAGGAAATTTTGGACAATCTGAGCAATAGGAGTTAATGAAGAATTAACTAAATGTTATGTTCTATTGTTAGGGCGAGGACTTTGTAGAGTATTTTATTGCTCTTAAGCCTTCTGGAGTAGCAGTTTATAAGAACAAGACTCGAGTTGGGTCCTACCTTTGGTAAATACAGAATTATCAATTGATCCTTTATTCAACTTGATCAGCACACACAATGTAATATGGGCATCTGCATGCATAATTTTGGGTTTAATCTCTGTGGACAAACCTCTCATTAATTTTATTGGTATGTACTGGATAGCTAAAAGAATTAACAGGCATGTGCAGTGGTGGATCTGGGGGAGGGGCCCAGCCCCCGCCCCCCCCCCCCTCCCCCTTAGCTCAAGGTCTGGATCCACCACTGATTTATGTGGAATTACGTAAGTCTATTGGCTCTAAATAGAAGTCACTCTTTTAGCCTGATTTTGTATTCCATTTTTCTTTCTGTACTTGATAGATTGAACCTAAACAAATCCAACCTGAGACTGTAACTACAAAGATATATTTATGTCTTCTCTCTCAGTAGCTTTTTAATGCCATTTAATTACTACATGACTGTGCAAATAACGTATTCCAAGAAATTTACATGGATAATAGTATCTAAAGGCACATCATTAATCAAGTATAGAGTTGACTACAATGTACATGGAACTTTTGGGTCAAGTCTCAAGTGTTTTATAGTAGAGGAAGAATTAAGTGTGCAGTGAGAGATGTCCCGGCTATCAGTCCCAATCAGTGCTTCCTCTTTGAAATGTTTTACCTTATCATCAAGTTGCAAATTATCTGTATTGCATCATTTGGGTTTTAAAGAAAAATTAATATGCTATCAGAATTTGATGATGTAATACCACAGGAAGAGGATTGCAAGGCTAGACAACATTTTTTTTAAATCTAGCATTGCTTTTTTAAAATCATTTTCTTCTGTGCTATTCTAGAGAGTGTACTCCAAATTATTTGGAGAGTAATATTCAAATTATGTGGAGAGTAATATTCACCAAATAATCCATTGTCAATATTTCTGACAAGTTTTCTGAATGTCATCTAGATGACAGATTGTCAATTCAATTAAAGTTTACATCTCTCTATATTTTCTTTACTTTAGGTCAAAAATAGAAAAGGTTGATTTTAAAGAAAAGAAATTCTACCTGACAGTGAAAGGAAAAGAGGTGACAATCTTTCTTAAGATACATGTATTTGATGCATAAAAGTAATCATCGTTAGAACATTTTAATACAGTAACGGCATATTTCTAAAGCTATAGTGATCAAGTTGTTTCCCATTTAATCATGTCATAATTTCTCGACAAAAGTAATGTTTGTTGTAGCAAGTATTTCAGTCTCATGGCAATTGATTGGTCAAAAGCGAGATCCTAAATTGCAGGTTTTGTGAACAAGCAGTAAGTTTTATTGTTTGATCTTTCTTCAACACAACATAACCATGTTTACATAACATCATGGAAAATCTCCTGTCATCATTCTAACCAGTGTATCTACAAAATGTAGACAGTACATTTTCACAAGAATGAAACATGTATCTCAAGCATGAAACTTATTTACAAATGCTCTGTTTTCTTTTTTACAGGACAGAGAGTACACTTTCAAGTTTTATCTCGCAAACAAGACAGCCTGCAAACACCTCTGGAAGTGTTGTTTGGAACATCATGCATTTTTCAGGTTGGTAGTTTTATATTATTTCAACTTTCTACAACTGACTGATAGTTCAGTGAAGCAGAGATAAAAAAAAATTATTATTTTGTTGACAGATAACCATTGTAATACCCACTGAGTGCATTCCACATTTAATTATGTTCTGGCAAAACCTTTATTCAGTTGGTTTACAAATCCAATAAACAATAATAAGTTCCCTTACATTAGCATAACTAAATATGCATTAAATTTGCCACAAATGTTGCATGAAAAGCTCAATCTTCCTAAATGTAACTTAGTTTATTTGATTCAATCTTGTTTTTTTTTCCCTGTAGATTAGACAAGGCCAGTGCTACCTCTCGTCGCAATAGTGGCTTGTTTCGTATGGGATCCTCATACAGATACAGGTACAATAGTTGTCTTATGGATATATATGGCAATAGCTGGAAGCATTACCTTTTTATTTGTTCATTATTGGTTTTTATTTGTTTTTATCTCTAGAATAACATAAAATACTCTACCAGTGCTTGTTTTGCACTTAAGAATGAAGTCGGATACAATAACATTGTAATATACCAGGAGGTGTACCACCTGTATCAGAGCACAAATGTACATGTAGTATTTTTATATTTATATAATGTTATGATCTTTTCAGGTGATGCATGTTATTAACCTAAATATATCTGCAGTAAGCATCTCCTGAGGTTGCCCTCTCAATTTGGCAGCATGCATTTTTTACTTCTGAAGTGAGAGAGACAAGGAGGGGATAAAGATGCTTATTCAATGGCCAGGGTTTTATCCTTGACATTTTGATTCAGAGTCAAACGCCCCAAACAATAAGGCACCCTGCAAATTAAGTCTGCACCAACAGCTAGAGTGATATCCATAGAAGATGTTTCAAATTAATTTTACACTTTTGATCTTACAAAGAGCTTTCAAGTTGTTAAGCTATAACTATATGAACTTGCGTCAGTTACTTTGTTTTCATTATCTCTAGTGGAAGAACACAGAGAGAAGCCTTAGAAGATGGAAAGAAAATTCAGCGTCCTGATCCAGAAGTAAAACGGTATGAATTAATTACAGTATTTTACATGTAGACATGATTCTTGGCAAGTTGTGTCAGACTGACTTGTACATTTGTTGTGCCTTAGAAAACCCAGTAAACGCTATGAAAGAAGGAACACTCAGTCTGGGGAGAGAGGTGAGTTTGTGCTGTTTCCGGTGTTGGTATGACAGTTTGTTTGGGTAAAGCAATGCAACTGTTTCAGGATTTCAGGCCACTAAAGCTAAAGCCACTAAAGCCAAGAGAATCTTTGTGGCTTAGAATGCTGTACTCAACCTTTCAAAAACAACTAAACAGAACGGAAGGCGTGCATTGCTTTGCCTAAAAAACTGGCCATCCAGGGATACTGACTAAAAGCTTTATCATCACTGAGAGACATGTGCATTTACTTTTTGTTATTTGTTTATGTTTTGCTTTTAGAGTACTGAAAATCCAGTCTGTTGGTACTTCTTAAAAGGTGTTTTGATGACATGTAAAGACTATTCATGCATTAATCGAGGATGGTCTTTTAGGTTTCAGATCTTCCACGGACGTTTTTCTAATGGAGTAGATTAACTTTTGTTAACGTTTGTTATGTTTCAGCTCAAAGTAATGTCACAGTTGCCTCAGCAACCAGCACATCACAAGTTCAAATTAAACGATTCAGTCAAACAGACAATGCAGCAGAAGTAATAACTGTTCCAGTCACTGGTCCTAATGGAACTGGGTAAGTACAAAACAAGTCCAATCTGCAGGCTCTCTTTTGAAGTAATATATCAGACAAGATAAATTACGTTTGGTATATCTTCTCAGTCAAAACTTAAACTGAGGAGAAAACAGAGAGATAAAATTGTAAAAATACATGCTAATTAAGATCAGATATCTAAACACCATCATGGCTTGCTGTCTGGTTAGATCAAAATGTTGTTTCCTGGAATGGTCAAAGCAGCTTCATTTTCTTGACAAGCCCTCATTTTACCTTCACTAAATAATTGTAAGCATCTCATTTTTAGGCTGAGCAAATGTTTTTTCTTTCTTTCATTTTCAGTATTTTTGTACTCTTTTGACAAGTGAAAGATAGAGCAATTTTTAGTTAGCTGTTGAAAGAAATTGGTGTTGTACTGGCTGTGAGCTTTGCTAAGTTCTGTAACTGGTTAAACAACAACTTTTATTTTAAAACCACACAGGACTAAAATAAAATCCAATAAAAACGTGGCAGTTTCTCGGCTAGCTAAATGTTTTCTTTTCAAATTGTGTGACGATCAGTATCATTTATAACATGGGCCAAACGAAACAATAGACGAAGAACAGAAACAATGCCTGTAGCTCTACTATGAACGAAAGAGATGCAGATTAAAAATAGAGGTTTTAACACATCATGCTATTTGCATAAATTTGTTGCAACCCTTTGGTTTTACTAGTTTTGTATTACTCATGAAAAAGAGACTCTTATTTCCTTAGGATCAAGACAGAGGGTGATCCCAGCTCAAAGGATGGTGATGCTACTGCTGTTGATGGGAATCAAGGTCCTGCACTACCTTGGGAACAATCTGCTCAAATGCAGGGGTAAGGGTCATTGGACGAGTCTGCCGTGTGTGGTGATTCAATTAAATCCTGCAACATGAAATTTGGAGTTGTTTTTCAATGAAGGCATTTGCAAAAAAACTAGACTAACCGTTTACTATGTTATAACCAACAGTGGTTTGTACACACCAGCCCCAGACTCCCCTCGGTCACTGAAGAGTTCGGGATCTGGAAGGGCTAAAAGATCACCAAAATTTCCAAGGTACTTGTTTTTATCATTGGATGGGTTATTACATGACTCATCGTTTAGTGCTAACTATTTTTTTCATTCTAATTTACTAGTAATAAAAGTAAATAATGGTAATAAATCATTTGTAATTATTGATAGACTGGTCCGCCTAGACTAGCATAGCTATCCGGGGGACAGTCCAACTGTAAAATGTAGGTTTTATTAAGAAATAAAATGATGATGAAAACTTTACTAGTCCTGCATATAACCGCGTCTGAAATGTGATCGTTACTCTAACTGTACTTTATTCCATTTCTTTCGTTCCCAGGCCCCACCGGCGTTCAGCGGGACAAAGTAGTGGCAGTGAAACAGACACACCCAGGAGAAGGTAATGATCCTCACAAGCAGCATCCATTTGAAATCGTCTTTGTGGATAACTGTGCATGTTTTTTAAAAGTAGTGTTCCGTGTTGATGGGTTTGTTTCTTCTCTATGCCGTCTGTTTGACAACGAGGGATATTGCAAGGAGTTGATCTCGTACCGAGATCTCACTCTGTTTGACACTTGGCCGTGGGAGATCTGGCTTCCATTAGTCTTTATACCATGCCATAGAAAATGCAGCCAATCAGAATACAGGGAAACTGTTGTATATTCGACGGTGTTACACTCAATCTATATTATCTATCAACCTTCCCATCGTGGGCCACCATTATGTCGTATTGATTGCGTTGGCCACTGTATTTTCTATGGCATGGTATAAAATAGTTATTCAACGCTCTCTCGTGGTGTACCATGAAATACCCCACTTGTCACTTGTATTTTCTTGGTATACACACTCACCTAAAAGACTTATGTGTATACTAAGAAAATACAAGTGAATTGGAGGATATTCCATGGCTTATCACTCGAAAGCATTGCATAACTCGCATACAATCCAAGTCTAGGTTACGTCAGGTTAGGGAGGTAGAGATCAACCTTTTAATCAAACCTGAAGTTGTTATCTCTGGTAAACCCTTATTATATCTAAGTAGCTAGTCGAGCACAAACAAATCTACAGCAAATTACACATCTCTCTTTTTAAGCAAGCTGTAATGGTATTTTCTCCAAATTGAAGTCTCCATGTTGGTTTGGTGTGATGATATTGTTGAGGTCTTTTCACAGGAGTCGGCGAGCCTATTCTTCTGATGATGACACGGGCAGACGGAGAAGAAGAAGGTGGGAGAATTCACTGTATAATCAGAAGCTTCTATTAACTTACAAAAAATATACGTTAAAAAGTTAAACCAAGATTTGCCTTGTCCTTCTAACGTTTACTTACTTGCTTTTTGCCTTCATGCCAACCTCAAAAAATAAATTCTCTACTCCTTACATGTATGTTCTAAAGAATTACGAAGTTGATTGTTTTCTTTATTCTCGTTACCTCTCTTCTTTAAATTGTATTTATGCTGTAAGGAGAAATTAGATTTTTTTTTTTTTTTTTTGATTTGGTTGTTTTATTCTCCCCAGATGTCGCCATCACCATCACAGAGGTCATCATTCTGCGGAGTCTGGGAGCGATCGTGATTCGTCTTACAGTCGAGAAGAAAGAAGACGACACAGGTCAGTGGCTTGCATCACAGTTAACTTTTCTCATTTGAATTACAGCATACTCAAACATGGATGTGAGGCAATTGTGGGCAATTTTGTAGTTTCTGTCCGAAATTGCCTCGTACACACGTTGAATTACATTGTTAATCATGAAAAGGCTATTACCTGACAGTTTGTCACGGATAAGAAATTGAAGTTTTGTTGGAAAACAGATCGTCTTGTGTTAAAACAGATCTCCAGCCGAAGAGATCGTGTTAAATTTTTACCATGTTTTATCGTGGCTGCGCCCCTTGAATATTTTCGCAGATCGTCTTGTGTTATTCTTCCTTGGACGATTTTGAATTTCAAGGAAACAAATTACCAGGGAGGTAACCTTGAAATGGTCCGTGAGCTGCAGTGACCTTGAATTAACAGCAATCTGACGAACGCTAGCAGGCAACCTGTCGGACATTTCATGCTGCAAACTGATAAGTCCATAGATTTTGAAACAAAGCTTCCTCGTGAATTTACCTCGCAAATGTACAACTTTAAGATTCATTTGTAGCACTCCTCCACAAAACACTGAATAATTGTAGTTTATAATAATTTCTCTTCTACTGTCTGCGCACTGACTCAGTTAGGACAGAATCCCGTTGATTCCAATTTCAAAAATTAACAATGTTCCTACTCGATATCCCACGATATCCTGTTTTAAATATCCCATATTCCGTTAACCCCCCCCCCAAAAAAAACAATATATATATATATATATCCCGTACATCCCGTTAATTTTTTATCTCAATATCCCGAATTCCGACAACCTCTAAAAGGATTTCATTGTACTGTTGCTGCTTGTTATAGATCGTCCAAAGATCAAGCAGATATTAGCAAGATGTCAGACGCGGCTCCATATCATTGGAATGACAACAGGAGAGACCGAGGCAGCGGATCCGAGGACAGGTGTGGAACCAGTCTGATTAATGAAGTATTTCTATCACAATCAAAAACAAAAAATTGCCTTTGAGCAACCAACCAACTTGTAGAGTTCACGTGGCATGACAGCATTCTGCATGCTCTCTTTGGCCTCGTCAACACTGCGTGCACGCCTCGTGCTCAATGCGTCCACATGCTTTATTTCTTCTTTATATCGTGTGGACGGAAATCATTTTGAAAACGAAGCTTTTCGAAAACGATGACGTCACGATAATCATGTGACTTCCCTGACCGAGGTTCCTCAAACACAAATCCAAAATGACCGGTGATTGGTGCGTTTTCAACTGTGAACTGTGCGGCATCGTGATGACAATTTTATTTATTTTTGAACGTTTTATGACGTGTAAATATTGTAAATATAGATCAGGTTCTCATAAGGTCAGTAGTTTTTAGTTTTTACTAATTGGTACATTGTTATTAGGTCTTTCTTTTATTTTATACACGAACCCACAAGCTTTTAGCTTTAAAAGTTATCGTGCTAAAATAAAGGCTTTCTAGCCTAGTCTAGTCTAATCTAGTCAAGTCAGATTAAGCCTTTCTCATTCTCTTCCCTATCGAGTTTCAAAAGAGACCTTGCCTGCGGCCTCCTGCGGAAACTCAACGATGGTTTGTTTGTAAAAAAGTCGAATACCCTTTTTCTAGCTCTGCTGTGCATTTTCCGCTGGGAATGTATAGTGGCGCAAAATTGTGGTATAAAATGAAAAACGCACTTAGGTTGAAGTTGATAACGCGGCAACGTAAATCTCCATTGTAAGAGTGTTATAGATTTTTAAACATTGTTGTTTGTTCGTTTAAGGTCTCATCATCATCACAGACACAGACATCGAACATCTGATGGTGACGCTAGAAGTGATGGATCCACATCCAGGCATCATCACAGTAAAGTCATCAGTGACGATGCTGACTCGTAAGTGAAATACGATGATTATATTGTCATTTGTAGACTGTTCATGCAATATATTTTATTCTCAGCTGTATTCTACATTGACAAAAAGCCCTTAGTTAATGAGGATGGCTAGAACTGGATTGAATTACAGACAAACCTGGAAACATGTAGCTCGCGTCTGTGCGTTTTGGAGAAATTTTGGGGTACTGTATTTTTTGAGAAAATTGCTTTCTGTTTTTATTCAGTTAGCGTTTGAGGAACATGGCGGCAGAAGGAGAAGTCCTGTCCTGTAGGAAAACTATGTTTATTTTAAATTGTATTTATCGTAGGAAATAAATACCTCTTGTTAGATAAACATTCATTTAACAACACATCAAATACACGAACATTACACCATAACAATTAACACTAACTATAATTCGAATGTTTCTACGTGGTATTATTGAACCACTGGTCATAAAATAAGTAGATATCAGCGGTTAATATCACCAGTAGCGAGTTTTGTCAGTGCTTGGGCTGCTTCTATTTCCCGGGCGCTTTGTTCCACAAGTAAAACGAAAGCCTTGTACGTGTCGACCAAATTGTGTGCTAAGATCACTGGAATGTTCCGCGTTAAAACGACAGGTGTCGATAGTCCGAGCATGGCTTGGGCAGCGGTGATTTCTTCAGGACAATAACTTCTGGGCATGTGCTGTTGAGGCAGTTTCTGATCGGCAGATGAGACTGTTTTACATGTATCTTGTTTCTGTCTCTTGGCATGAACGTGATGCTCTTTATTCGTTAGTTCCGCTGCATCCCTTTTTCGTTTCACTGCAGTGCTACCGCGCAAATCCTCAGTAACCACTTCGCCTCGCCGCTTGGTCTTTTTCTGTGTCTCGAAATTCTTCTTGAAGCGTTTACTTGCAGTGCCAGTCACTTGTCGCTCTATCCTTATCTCAAATCGCTCCTTTCCCCTTACTTGTCGTTTTCCCTTTCGTCTTGTTTCTTCTTTTTCTTTCCTCTTCTTGTTATCACTGATCTCCTTGCCATTTATCTGGAAACCAGGATGCCGAAATTTTTGCGTCTTCGAAGGTCTTGCGCTCAACACCCTCTGGAAGCCGATAGTTTTCAGCATTTTAACAAAGCTCTCAAAGTCCTTAAGATTCAAGGCTGTCAGTTCTCGTCGTAGTACTTCTCTTTCGAACAATTGAGGACTTGTAATTAAGACGGCTGTTCCGTTGTCGCACCATCTGATGCAACGCCAATATTTTCCCGAGGTTAGAGTGGCGAAGAGCAGAGATTGAAAACTCGCAAAGCGCGATTTCTTTCCCATTCTGTTTTGATTTTCTGTTCTGTCAAATACTCCGCTATTGCTTAATGATGGCTGGTGATTCAATTTGAAGATTTCTCTGGCCAACGATTTAGAAGCAATAGTTTTAAGGCCACGTTTTCTCGCACATGCGTTACCTCAAATCTCTGCCAACTCAAGTTTGTGATTGTTCGGGTCATGGAAACCATTGTGATGTAGTTCATAGAAGATTGCGCGCACGGTTAATGCGCGCGCTTAGTGATCAGTGATGACTTTAAAGATCTTTTTATATCGTCTTTCAATCCACCCATCGATATAGAAGCGAAAGAGCATGTAATGGCACTTTGGTTTTGCATCAAACTTGCGCTGTCCTTTCGTTCGGCTGTACCGTTCGGTTTTACTTTTCGATAGCTAAAAATGTTCTTCGAAAATAATACATTAAGGATGATTGGACACGTTTTTCTTACTTACCTGCCAGTATAGAAAGTCCTTAGAAAATGCTCTTCAGTTACTTTTGAGTGAGTGACTCAAGGTACATCATTACGCAGTAACATTTTGCCCACCAAAGTGTCTTAGCTACAGTTCAAGTCGTTGCTGATTGCGAATATTTAACTTGACAACGGAATTACTCTCAGCCTCGCGTAAGCTAGTGCGCGCGTCTTATGTTACACGGATTTGAAAAACTTGCCTGTTCTAGGCGATCGGTTGGGGAGCATCAGTACGAAAGATACGAGAGAGAAATAAGTGAACCCCTCTTTTTTTTACCTTCTCTCTCGCCGTTTTCGCTCTGCTCCCCAATCAACCGAGCGCCTGGCTATTGCGAGGGAGGGTGCAGACGAAAATGCGTATTAACACCCACGTTGATCCTTCGATTCTGTTGAAACAATACCTTTCTGCATCTCATCCACTTGTCTGTTGTTGACTTTTAGGGAGATGGTGCCAGCTCTGGATGTGATACGTTCCCGAGTGGCTGTGGCCAGAGTCAAGGAAGGCAGCGGCGGAAAACATCGGCATCACAGACATCATCGACACAGTTATCTGGGATACCAGTCCAGCGAATCAGGGTACTCAGCTGTGTCGGCTCCTCCAGCTCCTAAGGGCTCTCAGGTGTTGTTAGAATTAGGCCCCGAGACAGCATCCCCAGCAAAGCATGGACCAGGTTTGTGAGATGTTGCAATCTTTACTGTGATATCTATTTTCGGTTTTTTACTGTAACATTTGAATGCCACCTAGGGACTTACCATTTTCTAAACGTGGTTCACTCCACGTCGATCCACTGGTTTCGAAGGCATTACAAAATATAAACATTTAGAAGTACCTGTTTTTCGGAGCATCTTACCTTAGAACACATCACATTTTAGCCTGTAAACAGGCTCTTTAGTCCAATCGAAGATAGGGCGAAGAGGATAGGAGAGAGATCCCCCCCACGCCATTCCTCCTTCGGCCTGTTCACTCTCACCCAGTTCCTTTTCGGTCCTTCCAGCGGCGATTAGACCTTTGCAGCCGGAGCCTGTTGACTGGCTAATCACATTTAGTTGAATGCAGAAAGCAGAACCAAGTAGCTCCATAACTGAGCATTCCTTTTTCACGTGACAAGTTGCGTTTGTTGTCTACTCGTTACCAAGTAATCATCTCTTTTATGTTTACCAGGTTCAACACAAACAGGGCCCATGATGAACACAAACAACCATCATTCTCTACCAAAGGGGCCTTCATTGGGCCACGAACAACAGGGCCTCTTTTCCAGTCGGATGGTGTCATTGCCGAGAGAGGTTAGCCCTGAGAAAACAAGTCAGTACGTAAAGGTGGAGTACCCCAATGGAGTCATCATCCACGACACAAGGAATCAAGGACGCATTCCAAAGTAAGACCGCGGATGCTCCTAATTATTTCTTTAACTTGTACCGTTTTTCATAAACCTTCGAAAGAAAGGTATTTGCATTGGTTTTACCATTCCGGAGCATTGTTATTTGTTAACAAAATTCTTGCAATTTCTTCTGACCCATCATGTCCGACATGTTAAATTTTTTTTAACCAGTCATGAGAAGGACTCACACCAATTGCGGTTAAACTTAACCGAGTTTTGCCGCGCTTGGCCGCGGCCGCAAGATTTTGCCCTGATTTCTGGTTGGTTCTTTGAGTTTATTGTGTTTTTCGTGATTGGTCAGATGTTATTTCGTTGGTTTTGGTCTATAACAATAGAAGACCGAGATGTTTTAAAGATTTCTGTGATCTGTTGTGCGCAAATTAAGCAAGAACGCATGGTATTTATCCTCTTACCATAGCCATGTCATGTACCAAGCGGCGCTGCAGTTGAATGGAACAAGTCGGAACCAATATAACTCACCAGGAAAGAGCCCCACGACAGACTACATTGAGGTGGTGAGTACTGCTAACCGTGTTAAGCGTCAGAATCAACACAGACCATTTTTTGACTGAATGTCGCTGCGGTCAGTCAGCGATTAAGCTGTTAAAATTGTTTCTAAGGCCCAGGTCAAACGTCGAACTTCACGTGGGACGAACTAGACTGAACGAATTAATTCATGATAAGTTCGACTTTTGATTCACCTTAGCCTGCATAGCAGGCGTTTCCAAAAAAGCACGCTAAGGGAACGAAACTGCGAGCGAGTGCGAAAAATAAAGAGTTGGAGGGGTGGCCACCCCCTCCCCCTTCTCGATCACCCCCTCCCCACTTCTGCCCAATTTTTTACTCACCCTAGGTCCGCTCCTTGGGTCGCCCACTTGCTTGCTCTCTTGTTCGATCTCTCCACCTGGAAAAGGAAAGGAAACGGCTGCAAGGCAGGCTAGACTGAATTTAGATCGACCAACAGATTCTATTCCCCTGCTTCAGACGGATAGAACGTGTTAGTCGATCTAATTTCGAATTAAGTTCGACGTTTTTCTCAACGGTCGAACTTTACCCGTGTGCATCGACTCAAATTCATGTGAAGTTCGACGTTTGACTTGGGCCTAAGCACTTTGGGAGTCGTTTGCAGTTTCAATCGCGCAATGAAGAGCCAGCGTGGACAGGCGCTTCTCAGCGGTGTGAAACAATGCGGCGAATAAAAAGATCGATTACTCGTGCAGGCTACTCAGTGAATGTTACCCAAATTATGACTGTTTTGCAGTCTAGACAGAAACTCTAAACAGGAATCTACGATGCGTGCTTCATCTTGTGTTTTTTTCTCCTTCGGCGAGAGAATTTTTTGGTCGTAGGCATTTCTCCAACAATTGACTGAGTAGCGTTGTTCTGAAGATAGGTTCCTTAGGAACACGATTTGTCGTCATGACAGCAGTGCCGCTGAAATGTCAGCGTTTTTCGTGGCAATAATTCTCGAACGATACTGTAAAATGGCGCTTGCTCCCCGACTGGTGACGAACACGGTGACCGAGTGTTGCCACCTTTTTGCTTTGAATTGCTTTATGTGTGAGCTTAATTAGCAGAAATCTTGTTACCAAAATGAATAACTTGTTGTTACATCCGTTCACTGTTGCTCCCTTTCTAGGTGTCTGGTCCTTCCAAGAGAGGCGAACCTCCACCGTATTACTACCCCAGCTCACAAGTAATCGCTGGTAGCAAATCAACCGTCCTGTAGCTTGCACGAACAAGGACCACAAGTGCAATGTAGTATTAACATGCCAAGAAGTGCTAATTCCTTTGTTATAACTGAGTTAACTCAGCTCCAACATCCTTATCTCTTCAGAGATGAGGCTAGAAATAAGTTAAGGTGACGCCATATCTTAAGCTTGTCCCAAGCCTCACTGGAAAGATTACGCTTGCAAGTGGTATGGGTTGGGCGTGGTGGGTGGGGGTGGGAGGGGGTACTTAGATTCTCTTAGTGATCTTAACACCCCCACACAGTAGATATTTAAATGACAAGGATGTCAAATCTAACTACCTTTATTAGATCTCGTTAAGCACTAGTCTCTGTGCTCTTTCACGTGAGTCCTACATACATGCATTCTATACCTACTAGAACTAACTCGAATGAGACCTGAATTGAAATGGTAAAAAAGCACAACGAAGCTTAAAATCCGCAGAGGTGTGCGGATGGTCTAAATTAGCCAAGTTCCAAATTATTTGAAAACTCTCAAGCTGACAGAAGTGGCCAATTCCCTGCAGGGAATCATGGGTAGTTGGATTCATCAAAACAAATATCCAGTCCAAGATGATGAATACAACTACCATGATTCCCTGCAGGCCCTCCTCATAGAAAGAATCGGCCATCGATATTTCTTAACCGACAGTTGGCACTCCTTTCCATTATTGGCAATTCTAGACAAGTGGATTTCAATCGGCATTGTATTTACTATATAAGTTGCCACCGTTTTACCTCTCTCTCGCGCGCGTCAAATAGAATACGGCTCTGGCAGTGCTACTGACCTTAACAGCACTGCCCGTTACCCGTTCAAATTCTCTATTTAACTTAGGCAACCTTGTAGTGTCAAATATTTCATGGTATTAGTAGTTGATAAACATTGATGCCGAGCTTCTGAAATGGTCGTTATTTATGATTCTCTACGTTGGGTTATCAATCATAGAACCTTTGTGTTTAATTTTAATCGCGCGCAGCTCTGTCTCGTAACCTGCTTACTGTATTAGACTTTGGTGCCGTTTTAGCGGCATTGTCTCTATCATTCCATTTGTGGACTAAGACATTTGATATTTGGCTAAATATAGTCTTATTTTTATATTTTAATTTTGGCATTTTGCCCTCTGCATACGTTTTAAAAGATATATTTTTTACGCTGCTAACTATCGGTCCTCTCGTTAAGAAGTTTTATTTACATATTACAATTTCTGCGTTCTACGTAGTGATTTTCTAATGCTGTCCAGTCTACCATGTTTTCTCGTTTTCGCAATTTTGTGATTGGTTGAAAGACTCGACCATTCGTCGTCTCAGCCAATCGGGTGATCAGCTGAAACCATCGTGTTTTGGCTCACGTGACCTTTCACGGGCTTGGCGTTGGTTACATTGTAGTCTTATTTATTGTTTTAAATGTGCTGCCTTTCAGATTGGGTACGCTGAATACCCCAATTTTAACATACATCAGTCGTTAGAAAACCGCTCCAATATGGCAGAATAAGACAATTTAGCATTTTATGCTGGTAAACGATGTATTTTACTGGTATATATATAAAAGGAAATGTACTTAAAAGCTATCCACTAGTATTTTAGCTAAACGAGACGGTATTGTCTGTATGTATATGCTTCTATACCGAGTCTAAGATGCGTACGTGTGTACAAATTGTAATATTGTCTCTTCAAAGTGTTAATGTCCTGACAAAATTCAATTGCTTCATATTTTTACATTTTTAGCATAATGCACTTGAATCAGAATGGATGTAGTGTTTGTCCGTTTTTGTTAGTAACTCAAGGCGAGTACATGTTTTGGAAACACGACTTGTTTCAACTAGTAAGGCAAAGAGGGTGTGACTGATGCTCGCTTGCCGATTTACTCGTCACATGATCATTAAGTTGGTCATCGCGTGATCACTTTTTTGAATCACGCGAGTGAAACATGTGGCCTTCAACAGACGTCTGGGAACAATAGTATCAGTAAGGGTTCGTGTTCGAGTGCCTCAACGAACAACACTTTGTCTTAAAGTGTGCTATCTTTACGTTTTGCTTTGGTTTGCAATTTTCGCTTTCAATCGAACTTGCTATCCTCGTCGTTCTTACGTTGTTGTCGTTTAACAACTTGGATAACATATTGTAACAGTTTTAAATACCATATCAGCAGGAATAACTAATTTTGAGTAGCTGTTGGAAGATGTAAAGACCTTTCATATTATTTATATCACAGTTTCAATTAAATTGCCCATATGAGGCAAGGAAATAATTTGAAGTTTGTAAATCACTGTTGTTGTTGTTGTTGTTGTTGTTGTTGTTGTTGTTGTTGTTGCCTGTAGTGTGTGTCTGTGAAGAATCGTTTCCACATTTAATTATTCTTGTATTAACTGCGCATTACTTATTGGGACTTTTTTAAACACAATGTAGTTACTTACACTAGTTACAATACTTCGTACACTACTTAGATTACTTACAAAACAATACGTTTAATTACGCTTCTTGCAATACTAATACTTACAATTTAATTTATCAGCAAAACAGACACTTAAGAAAATAACACAAATGCGCTTATTACAATACAATAATTAACTTTAGAAAACAATAGCAAGCTTGCGGCACGCTTCCCGCTATTAGAACGTTTAGCCACTTGGCGAGAAAAAATGAGAAATATGCCGTGAAAGACTGCAGTCTCCTCCTGCCTTTTGCAGAAGCTCATGCTGTGTTGTGTCGCACCTTCCTAATGATGTATATTTCTATAGTGAAGCAATTATTCCATGTTGGCAAATTTACCCACGTGAGATGGACAAAAAGTTCAAGGAAGCTGGCGTCAGCAAAAAAAAGTTAAAACGCGTCTTTAAGGGTATCGCCCATACGTAGGTGGCATGTGATCGGGGTGTGACGTAACATCCGGGCGTAATCCCGTACGTATAGTATAACAAAAATGGAGATAACAGGATGAAGTCAAGTCAAGTTGGGGAGAGCGCAGGATTGCTCCTAGAGCGGAAGTAGCATTTGGCCAGTACAGTTCGTGGGCCCGGGGAGGGGGGCGGGAGGGTTGGCGGACGGACTCCGATATAAAAAGGATGAGGGAGTTCGTCGGAAACTTTGAAAAGAACCCGTAATAGGTACCAAGACCTAAACCCACCCATCCTCAAACTCATCAATAATTCATCAGGTTTAAACAAAGGAAATCAGGACCATGAAATCATCATCATCATCATCTTTATTTAAAAACACGGTAAATACATCAGGCATTAACAATTTAATATAAAAGCTACAACTTATTACGAAAGACTATGTATACAGATTAATCTTCTATAATTTAAATATTGTTAACTATTAAAGGAAAGTAAACTAAGTTAAAGCCTGTTTTACATGAATGCCGTGTCGGAATTAATTAACAATCGTCGGAAATTAGTCAGAGATGTTGCTTGCCTAGCAGCTGAGGGTAGACTGTT